AGGAGTGAAAACGTGGTAGAGTTAGTAAACAATCAAAAGATTAAGTAATATGAATGAGCCAACAGATTAATTGGAATAAATTGAAAAGTTTTGTTATAAAAGTCGCAGTTATTTGGAAGATCAAATGAAGCAACGCCGAAAATTATTAAATATGAAAATAAAAATGATAATGACGATATACGAGTACAAAGACTAATCTAGCAGAAGGGGAAATTGAGAAAACAAGAAAGAAATGAAGCACATTAAGACCAAAATAAGTTAAAGCTTAGGTAGAGACAAGGACTGTACATACTCCTCCTATACACAAAGGTCAGGCTTCAGTTCATGGATAGTCAAGGGCTTCCGCCTGTTTTTAGAAGCTGGAGGCAGAAGAAACGTTAGCTGATTGAACGAATTCCATAGATAACCTTAAAATCGTTATTTGCGTCGGCTAAATGGTTGGAATCGATTAAATCTTCAAGGATAGAACTTCTAATGCATTTCTCTTCACCTTTATAAAACCACGCTGAAATGTATTCGAGTATACTTAATTGACTTCTCATTCTAGTCTGTGTTTAGTTATGACTACATAACAAGCAGATGACGCAAAGTTCATTGAAATCTCCTTCAAAACTGAGGTAAGTTACACCGCTCACCAATAAGTATAATGCCAACATGCAACAACATATTTGAAAGTGCTGTTCAAAAAGTGGAAACTTAGTTCGAGACATTTATTTTCATGTTTATGTAGGTATACACCATAAGGTGTTTTACAAAAGGAAAGGTGGTACCTAGTAATGACGTAGCTTATGCATGATAATGATTATTATTACATAGGTGATAGCTAATATATACCCTAAGCAATTTACAACTTGACAAAATAATGCACATGCCTATGAAAAACACCATATCCAGCGAATGTCTTCCCTTGTTATTAACTTCAAGCTATATTAAATTCAGAAGTTGACGATTCCCTAGAATCTCATCTTTACTGCAAAGACTGAAGTTCCCCAAACGACCAAGGATGTGTTGGCAACATCACCAAGTTGAGCTATATCTTCGGTTTGTTACCTTCTGACTTCTCCTTTACTCATAGTCCAGCTAAAGTGGTATGCCACATTTTGTACAGACTTGATATGTACAACTTGTAAGCATATAACAACATATGCAGCTGCATAGTCTTCTCAAAACACTTCCATCACAATGATAAATATAAAATCAAAACAGCTGGCGGGTAGATCTGCAAATGCCGATATTAACTTCAACATCCAGCCTAAAACTTTATCAATAAACATAAATGTGATTATTGACCTGAATAAAGTCAATTCAGAACAGGGTGAACACTGCCGAGATTTCTATACCACTTAACAAAATTTCCGCTTGTTCAGCTTAGTTACTCTAGCAGGTTTATTACCACAGCACACCAGCTACAATGCCTTGCCACGTATAGACAATTTCCAGTATTTGCCTAACCAGCCCCTAATTAGCTAATCTGCAAACCTTTGAACTGGACTGGACAAGATTTCTGTACTCTTTGGTGCCCAGAAATACAGCTTGATGAAAAAACATAGATATTCACAGCAAGTGAGACAGGATAAGTGGTAATCTTTACATAATCTCTGTTCACAGATGTGCTGTTAAAAAGGTTAACTACGCATTTTCCAGGGACCAAGAAAAGATGATTTGTCACAGTGAAAGTGTGGCAAACTGTTTTCGAATAAAAATCCACACGCAGCTATAGGAACGCTGACAACGGAAGTCAGAAGACGGGTAGGAAAAACGCTACTCACCACAGAACTATTTGGAACTTACTGCTACCTGTATGATGGCAATGCAGTTGAAAGATAGGTTACTAAGTCTCGCCAAACCTGCGTATTTACACATTTAACTAGTCCTGTGAAGACAATTACTCAGAACGAAATGGTAGGTCGGTCACACTGTGCAGTGTGGTTCAAGTACATAAGCAATAAAATCCATCAAAAGCTCAGCACTCACCCTCCTAGCGGATACTGAGCATAAGATTGGCCAAACTTCAGCCCTTACTATTCTCCAGGAATTACCATCACAATATTCTGAATTTATGCACCTTCTATTATTAAGCACACCCTAGGCCACAGCTTTTCATATTTTCAAATATATTTTATGCTTGCAAAAGATGTTTCTTCGGTCCCTTTCCTTCAGGATTATTATTCAGATACCAGTAGTTGACGCTTATTCAGATTCAAACGAGACTAGAAGAATTAATGCTTCTTAGCATATATTGAGGTCTGACCCATTGCTGGTACTTTGACATTGCGGTTGGGTTTGTATATCACAATGACTTAACGCGCTACGCTGGTTCCCTCGAGGTCCTACCACACCAGAAGGGCATGTTAGCTAATGCTGAAACAAAAGAGCAGTAACCATTATAGTTAAAATTGCTACGCTATGATGAGGCTTTCAGGGCGGTTGTACTGCTGACTGGATGGCAGTGCCACGCTGAAGTTCTTTCCTATAGGAAAGAGGTTTAAGTAAAGTTTGACCCCCAAAATAGCACACTCCCACGACGTCGCGGCATGCCGAAGATTGTGATAGGTATTCACAGTCGGGTTCGAAAGAGAAAAACCGAAACCTCAAACTCATCTCAAGAAGTAACCTCCCACTGTGTAGACAACCGAGAAGTGTCAACCACCCGCACGCTACTAGTACTATACAAAACCCAATCAGACGTAACCCATTCTACTCAACTGTCTCCTCTTTTGCCTTTACTCAATGATACTAACACTAGCTACGTCTGACTTCACAGGGACTGGCCTGCTCCCTGGAGTATGCAGACGATATTGTGCTGATAGGCGAAGACACTAGCAAAATGTGGGGTCTTGTGAACGCGTTGAACAGAAATCTGAGTATGTTTGGCATGCGTTTCGCTGGCACCTGTTAAATGTAAGATGATCCTAGGGGACCGGTTCGCAACCACTCCTAGTTTAATAATGAAGAGTGAGGTGGCGGGATGTGTTGCATCAGCTCAAACTGGTCGGTTGGTGGCGAAAATTCAGCTCGAGTGCAGAAGGCCCGTTTGGGGTTCGCCAACTTGCGTCACCCGTGGCGCCGACTGGCGAGACATAGGACTACCTACCAAAGAATGAGTATGCAGCGCCGCAGTCTTTTTTCTTCTGCCATATGGCTGCCAAAAGTAGGACACGAAGCCAATCCAGAGTTTAGATCACGTGTCTTTGTAGGACTGCTCATGTTTGGTGGGATCACCGGGTGGGCGATCTTGAAGTCAGATGAAGGGTATCAAGCAAGTTGATTGATGAGGTTATGAACCTTCATAGTTCAAACGTGGCTTGGACGTGTTCTGGACATGCCGAGCCTGCCTCAACGTTCCATTCTAAAGAGGGTCGGACTAGGTTGGAAGAGGGTCCAGACCAAGACGTAGCACTAGCCGTGCTTGTTGGTAGGAGTCATGTAGACTGCTTGAATACAGTCCGTGAGACAATGAGTTGTTTAGGACTTTTGGTGACATGACGTAAAATAGGTCACGTTTTCCAAGGCTCTAATATTCACACAAACCTTTATTTTCATATTGTATATTCTCTCGCAGAACTCTGATATCACTACCGACCTGCACCCTGTAGGCTACTATGAAGTGTGACAACTTGGATCGCTGCACTTGTGTGCGAGGTTCTTTGATTTTGGTTAATAAGGTCTGAAGGTACCCAAAGAATCAGAACAGTATGCTTACAGAATAAACGTTGTTATTGCCAGGTATGTGGGCACAATGCTGAACTTACTACAAGTCGTACAACTCTGGTGTTACGATTTAACTATAGCTAAACATATCAGTTAGAGATTAACTGCAGTATTTGAGAGATACGTCATCTGCCTGACGTAATACACTCTACACACATTAGATTGACTGCGCCTCAATTACATTTGAATGCGGTCTGATGGACCGACACTTATAAGTCTAAGGTGAAACAGTCGTAGGGCACTACAAGTCATCATTTCTTGTAATTACCGTTACACAACTTACAAAACTGTGGGGTTTCGAATAGCCGGACTGAGTTCTCTACAACATGAATATTGATTTCGAACATACATCTGCGCGAGAAGAGACATCTCAAAAGAGGAAGATGTGGGATGACGAATCAAATAGGTTGCATTCAAATTTTCACCTATCAGAATATACATTTTCTGCAGTGATTGAACAATTCAGGTCGACAGTTCATTATCAACACCTTAGGGCAAATATCAAGAAACAAGTTTTGGTGCTGAACTATTGGAACCACCACAAGAGTACTACTCCTTTCCGTGAGATTTTCTTCTACTCAATGTCGTTTAAATGAGAGCATAAGGCTTGAAAATGAACGTGCCCAGTTGTTTTCTACAGGATACCAAAACTGTCACGTCTAGTAACACTTAGAAATGGTACAAAGCTTAATTTTAATTCCTCACTTTCGGCGACCAGAACATCCATTAATTAGGGTGGTGTATAACTGGGTCATATTCAAATTATTAGGCCAGTATGATTGGAAAATGAAAGAGTGGCATCTAAGAGGCCCATAATTAACGTTCGTTGGTGCAGTTTTGACCGTTATGGCAATCCGGTGCGTACAGACCACCTTATTCGAGGCAACTGTCACACCGTGGTATACATGTGATGACGGAGAATTATGATGCGGTAGCTTTTAAAAACTGATTCCGGGACGTAACAATTGGTAGGAACTGGATAGTTGCTACATTGGAAAACGAGATTAATATAAATAACTCCCGAAACAATTAACATCACGTGACATATCCCGTCGGAATTTACGAGTTAACCTTGCCCTACAGGCGTTCAAACCCTTGGTACTTATTGCTTTTTACAAACCACAGGGGCAAAGATTTTGTTAACACCAGGAACAACATTTACGCTTTAGTTAAACATCCCTAGTACCACGTATCCAGCCTACCAGAGTTACTACTCACCTAAGGTTGATCACACAAATGATTAGTGGCAGCAAACAACAGATTATGTTGAAAGTTATCAAAGAAGATGACTAGCCATTCTAGCAACATTATATTAAAACAACTCTAAGTCGCCTTTACATTGGAGTTCGGACCTCTTCTGCGGCCACCTGGTTGCTGCACAACTGCAACGAACCGTTTGTTGTACTGCATCCTACGCTTTGCTCTTCCACGAGGTGTCTTCTTTTTCTCTTGTTTCTCAACTTTTGGTGTTTGGCCACGAACTTTACCGGCACGGGCAAGAGAACCGTGTACCTTACCTGAGGAAAAGTATAAAGATGCGACAAGAACTCACCTCCTAGAAAAGGGACTACGACGTCGATACACGCATCGCTAGGCAGAGATGCCAACGACTGACAATCCCCAATTAATGATCCACCATTATACAGCTGGAGGCTATCAAGGGGTAAATTATCCTGGTTTGCCAATAAGATTTTCAAGTTGGCTGCCGTAGGGCAGTCGTCCGTATTAACAACACGCGTTTCAAATGACTTAACAATTAACTGCATGACTACGACTTGAAACCTCCACAACACGCCAATTCCGTTTGTCCGCCACTGGCTACTTCACGCGTGAAACAATGAACATTGTCCAATACTCAACGTGCTGTCGATAAGAATGTAGAACAAAACGTTTCATATATTTTACTTCTGTGATTTTGAAGAATAATGTGCTCTTATACTGAATGTCCAGGTGCATATACAAAATATCGTTCAGCTGCAGTTACCTCTTCGTTCTCAAAATTAATTGACAGTCCCAGAATACCTATGCTTCGGTCCTCACTGAAGGCTTTCGGTGACCCTGACCAATTTGCGTACAAAAGAAGAAGAAGAACTTTGGATGCCACCACTCGTTTATATCACGCTATTACTTATAGTCTAGATAAAAATGTCAAGTATGTCAGGTGTGCCTTTTTAGACTATACTTCGACATTTGACTCTGTCCCAAAACCTCTTCAGCTGAGTCCTGGATAGTCAGCTGGCTGCATTCCTATTTCCCTGAAGCGAAACGACACACTGTTTACAGGGGGAGGCGCTCCATTCCACTGCCTACTAAGGCCGGAATTCCCCATGAAGCTATCCCTTCCCCAAGTCTTTTCCCACTGTTTCTATATGACCTTCCTTCTTTAGCTGGTATCAATTTCATTAAATATGCTGATGACCTAACAGTTTCCATACGTATCCCCTCTCCGGCAGATTCCTTCTAAATGAATGATTCCCCACACACTGTTAGACTACGGTCCCCCGAGAATGGTCTTATGCAAAATTCTTCATAAACTTTCTTTTTGGACTTGAACACAACTTGTGTAAACTGCTTGGTTCTCATGATTCCTGTTCTACTGATAATTGTGCATTAGAGAATGTTATAAGGGTGATTTGTCTTGGTGTGTGTCTTCTTCGGACCTTTCCTGATCTTCTCACATCTCACTGATTTCCAAAAGAATTTTTCGCCCGAATTTCTGTACTGGGAAGCTGAGAGTATCTGGTGTCGCTCAGCCTCTTCTTTTATGTTAAAAAAAATCCCACATCTTGCTTGTCCTCCTCTATTGGTCCCCTTTATTTTTTCCTGGGTTGCTGAAAGAAGACACTGCTATATTGCTCACAGCTTTGAAGATTGTCGGCAGAACCAGTGGTGTACCTCTTGACCTTCTAGTTACGACTGTTGTCGGCCGATATATTAACTCATGTAAACATGTGACAGGAGTCATTTTATCAGATGGCCAAAGTCCTCTTCACTCGAAGCTCTACGCGTCCATCATCTGGAAGGAGGAGGGGCAGGTACACAAGACTTTGTGCTCGCACTACAAGATATCAAAACTGTACGGTACCGTATTCAGCTTGTCTGTTGTATAATGAAGAAAGTATTAGGAATGAACCAACCAATCAGTATCCTTTTTCAAAAGCAAACTAACTGAAGATGGGCGTGTTACTTTTTACGTATTCTGAATCAAATTGTCAATGTGATCGTACGCCTAAACTGACTGTGCATTTTGAAGAAAGTTGTAGATGGAGCAAATAGTTTTATTTTTTCTGCATAGAATTTCTGCTTATTTCATGTCGCTATGTGTACGTATACACTGTCTATCCAACTGATGCTATATGTGCTCAAAAAGTTCTATAGAGTATTGCCGAAATAGCTTTCAGAATAAAGCAGTTATTATTACCAAAGTCCCAACAACCAGCATCCAATCCAATATCCAATGTGGATAATACGAGTGTAGAAAAACGACAGTTTTTGATCTCTCGTGTCTAGCTCTCAGAGCTTGGTTCGAGTTATTCGGTTCACTCCTGCAGTGAACAAGGTAATTCCCTCCGCCTTCTTGCTTTTAGCTTCAGTGGGGTGAACGTTTCATGGGTTAGTAAGTTGCAAGTTGTAGAGTGATTGGGGGTCTGCGGGTTGTTGGGACGGTTAGGATACTTTCGTGGCTGCTGTCTGCATAGGTATTTGGACGAGAATAGTAAGGTAGTGGTAAGGGATGAGTAAAGAGGGGGGAAAGGGGGAAAGAAAGGAAAAGAAAGAAGGCAGTATGTGGTAGTTCCCCGGGGGGCAAAATTGGATGGCATAGGTCTGTTTTCTGGAGAAGAATTAGTCGGTGGTGGTGTATTAGGGAGAGGGATAGTGAGTGGCAAGCAGAAGGGAGGTCAGGTTGGTGACTTCCTCAGTACGTCCGTCGTAGACCATGCGAAATTGCATAACTATTAAACCGTCTCTTCGGTAAGTCATCTGAGGGAGCATTGACCATATATCGCGCTAGGGCATTACATAAAGCGCACGCTCTCCAGGAGAAAAAAATTGGACCTGAGCACGGTATTGGCACTCTGATGTGCTTTCTTGATGGGGTTTCCTCGTGGTGACCTCTGGGTTGTAGGTAAGGCCAATTTGTTTGCGTGGATTCGCCTGATGGGCGATCTCGTAGGCCACAATAAGATCACACCTCTTCCTGCGGCAACCCAAGGTGACTAGATTTAGTTGTTCTGGTCCTTCAGAAAATGCTTTCCACCTTAGCTTCGCAACAGATTTTGTTGAAGTTCTCTGCATTTTTCCGAGGATGTTAGAGTCTGTCTTGAGTGTTGGGGACCACCGCATTGAAGGCCTCTGGGTGCAGCCATACTTAGGACTTGAAGACTGTGCGGAAGAGTTTCAGGGTGAGAGTGCCAAGCTGTCTGCGCAGAAAGTGCGAAATGGCGTTCGCTCTGGTTGTCAGCCCTTTGTAGTCAGAGCTGGTGTTCGCGGTGTCAGGGAAGTAGAGCCCCAAGTCTTTCTCCGTGAACACTCGTGATAGCACGATTGCTCAACGTGTATGGAAGTCACTGGGGTCACTGCAAGTCATTTTGTGGTACTGTGCAGTTGGCCTCTCCATTTACTACCCTCCGACTTTTGATGCCGTAAGCGAAGAAGAAGATGGGTGAAGAGATTTTGTGTGGCAGATCGCTAACAAGCAAGGAGGAATAGAAATGGCTCCAGGATTGCTCCTTGGGTACTCCTGATAGGTGGTTTCCACTTCGACCTTATTCTGTTTACTTTGGTAGGGAACAGCCTCTCTTCTGGGCGCTCCTTGAACCAAGAGAGTTGGGGTTCACCTATACCGGCTGAAGCAATCTTGTGAGGCAGGACTGTGGGTGGGACACTGTCAAATGCTCCGGCCAGGCCGAGAAAAACAACGTACACCGGTCTTTTGTCGTTCCAGCTGAATTTTCGGTCGCCCCAGACGGCTGGCAGGTTTTTGGCACATGGGCGACTGCTCCGAAATCCGTGCTGAACAGTACGGACAGTGTTTGCCCTGTTGAGGGATTCCCAGATAGTGTCAGCTACCGGGCTTTCTAACTCTTTCCACACTGTAGGGAGTACAGCGATCGGCCCGTGGCCCCCAGGGCTTTTTCTGTCTCCCTCCTCGAAGACGGGTGGCAAGATGGCGCACTTCTATTCCTTAGGGAGTTAACACGACTCTATAAAGTGCTTGAAGAGGTTGCGGATTCGTTTTGCAAGGTCCTCAGCACAGTTTTCTAGGATTACCGGGTTTAGGTCATCGCAGCCAGGGGACTTGCCTGGACGTAGCCTAGATAGTTTCTTCAATACTTGTTTCTCCGTGACCGTGATGTGGCGGAAGCATTCGTTATTTATCGCCTGGTCAGTGTGGTAAAGAGTCGGTGTGGATTTGGTGTCTGTACTAAGTTGGGCTTGGAAGTGAGAGCTCAGAAGCTCGGCAATCTCTAGACTGCCTGGTATGCCCCAATCAGGACCTGTGATAAGATCCACTTCCTTGCTGGTAGGCTTCCTTTTTGACATGAAGCGGGGCAGGATTTTGGGGTTGCTTTGTAACCTCACCGGCCAGGTTTGTTCGATAGGTAAAACCGTCGCTACTCACCCTTACATTACAGTGGTTGTGGTTCAAAAAGCCACACTCTGCTTGATAAGCGTTACTCGATCCAAGTCTGCTCCTTCCTCTGAATTTGTCTGTCTGTCCCGCGCCTTAGACATGAGGTTCTCACTGACGGTCTGAGTTACCCCTGGTACACTGTGGCTGACGGCCCCAAGGATTATTTCCGCCACGTGTGTCTGGTGTTCATCCACTGTGAGATGATTCCAGTCCACCGGCCATGATGCATTAATGAGATGGTCTTTCATGATTTTGTAGTTGGCCTTGGTGTAGCAAGGGAAGGCTTTGGGGTCCTCGGTTTCAAGACCTCCCTAGTAAGCAAGGAGGAAGTTATTACTGTCTGGTCAGTGGGGCCAAGAGGAGGTCTGATGCATACAACTTAAGTGGGGAGTCACTGCTCGTCAGGACATGGTCAATGTGCGATGAATTTCCGTCAGGTCCCTGGGGTGTGGCATCACTCACTTTCCTCTGGGAGGCCAGCAATTTCATCTGGATTCTTCAGCTTCTGACTGGAGGATCCGGTGTGTCCCCCTTCCATCTTGAGGAGGATGGACAGAGTTTTGAAGCCGCTGGCAAGGATCAGGGAATCATAACCTGCAGGGAGAGTAGTCGAGATGGCCTCATGTGTTGGGGAACTGGTAGGGGACCGATATATGACCCCGAGCAGGTATTTAGTACTGTGGAGAGTAAAGTAGAGCCATGAAGATTCTGGGAGCTGGGTCAGGGCGGTGTCGCTAAGCCCTCCTTTCTTTCAACGAGACCTTACTTAAAGGGCCACTCCCCCTCCTGCTCCGAGCTCACTGTCCACACAGAAGAGTTCCATGTTAGTGGCATGCACCTCTTTGTCGGGGATGTCCGGCGAGAGCCAGGACTCAGGGATACATATAATGTCAGGGTGCCGATGTCCACGCAGCGTCCTCATTTCTGCCACTTTCCCCTTATTCCCCCAACGTTGCTGTATATACATGCCAAAGTGTGCCTGGTGAGAGCTGTGTGTTTTCGCGTGGTTGGGCCAAGCGCTGCCAGTCCTCATAAGACTGGCATCGCCGCGTTTTTCTGCGTTGTCTTTTCAACCTGCGCGGAGGCTGTGGTGGCACGGGCTTCTTTACTAGATGCATTTGACTCACTTGT